GGGATGCCAGGTACAAAAGCTCCAGGAAGAGCAGCACTCAGGTGGTTCTGAGGCAGCTGAGAGGTCCCAGCGCTGGGTTCTGGCGGGATGGAGGCTGTGAGACCGAGCACACGCTCACCCAGCAGATGGCAACCGCGGCACAGCCCGCGGCATCAGCGCTGTCCTGAACCGGGCATGGGGCGCGCACGGGGCTCTTCGCTCTGCTGGGTTTGTCCAAAATCCTCACAGGCAGAAGCAGATATATCAGATAGGGCAGGAAGACTTGAGGGGGCAGAGGAGAAGAAAGAAGAAACAGATGTAACAGATGGTAACATTCAGGTGATTCAGTTTCTAAACCAGGAAAAAAAACACTGATTCTGCAACAGAGTTCAGTCAGTGATTTAATCTCCTTTTCTCCAGTTAACTTTTACAGGAAAAGCAGAGCTGCTACATAAATTGAGTATCCAGGTAACGCTCCCCTTTTTATTACAGCCTCATGATTCACTAGCACAGAGCAAAGAAAGGTGAGGCCAAACTGCAATATTCCTACAGACCACAGAGAAGGAGCAACAAAGCAGAGCTCTGTCAGAAGCACCTTTGTGGTGCCCATTGCTTTTCCTGTCAGATTTACAACCTTTATCCTAACAAACCTCCACTGAGACAAAGACAGGTGGTTATTAGTGTTTCCTGATTCTAAAACAAAATCACTACCAAGGGCAGAGGCTGTGTGAGCTGGAGACAAAGCAGATTCCTCCCTGCTCCATAGCAGGTGTCAATTCATTGGTATTTAGGCTCCTGCTTTCCAAGAGATTGCAGCAGGAATGTCTGAGCCTGAATAGGAGTTAGGAGACTAAACACCTTTAGGCATCTTGGCACAGAGCCTCCAAAAACTACATTACAATGCACTTTAACAAAAACACAGGCAAACAAAAATCCCAACCAAAAAAAATAAGAAAGAAGTTAATCTAGAAAGCCTTCGAGATTTTTATTACCTGTTGAATTTATATGGGCTAAATGGCAAGGCTTGAAATGGTCACTTGATTGAAACTAAAATCACTGAGGAAACAAATATACATTCCTCAAAGACAGGAAAAAGGAATCTGAGTCACATCAGCTGAAAGACAAGATTCTTAGTCATAATGAAGTTCAAGGTCCTGGGCTCCAGTGGTTCATTCTGGACTCCTGAGCCTGAGCCTCCTGCTCAGCCCTTTGCAGGCAGCAATGAGCCAGACATCCTCCAGGTACCTTGTGCCACACATGATTCCCAGATCCCTGCCCTCCATCAGGTGCAGGAGATGTATTTAGGGAGTGTCAATGAATGGACAGAGCTGAGAGCTGCCCTTGGGTGCTGAGCCCCAGCCAAGGTTACCTCTGCCTGCAGTGACCCCAAGACACTTCCTCATCCTTTACAATGCACTCTGCTTCACACAAAGGGACATTTTCTTATAATTTTGTCATCTCTTAATGTGATATAAACATTCTCAAAGACTGAATGCTTTCAAACAATTTTCCTTCTAAGACTTGAACAGTATTAAAGAATTCTACATGAGCCTGGATGTCCAAAACCAGCCAAATTTGATTCAGTTTCACTGTTCCATCAGTCCTCAGATCTACTCCAGGCCACCACCACGCAAGATTAAAAATCTCCAGGGTTCAGACTCCTTTGTGGTCTGCAGATTGCATGTTGCAGAATAGTTCCCAAGCAGCTGATATCAGCACCCACTATTGCCACTCTCTAGATCTTACCAGAGTTATTTCAGCTCTGAATTGCTGAGGTTGGGCATTATTATTATTTGTATTTCAGAACACATAAAAAACACCTAAACGTGACTGAGAAGTGTCTGTTGTACAGGAACAGCAGCTCCCATTTATAATCAGAATAAGAGACAACATAAGGATAAAATGAAATTACAAAAAGAGCCAAGCAAGAAGGCAGTAACAGAATCAGAACTAGAACCTGGATCTGCTGAGCAATCCAGTATTGTGTCCTTAGGTTCATATCTTCATTACAACATTAACATAAATTAGTATAAGCTGACACTGCCAACAAAGGAAACAATTGTGCATTCTGCAAACCTCACTTGTGCATTTCTGCCTCTGCAGCAAAAGGGAGGACAAACAGCAGCTCTCAGTGTTCATTACACTGCAGCCTTGTCCTCCATTCAGAAAGGAAAAAAGGTGTTGAAAATATAACTCTCAGCTGAGACTGTGCAAAACCTTCAGGATTTGGTGTCACAATTGTGTAGCACCACTGTCTGTGCCATACCAAACCGAGGACAGTGACATGTTTGAGCTCCATCACCATAGGGATAACAGTGTGTCTGTTCAGATTGGATTCAAACTGCACCAACAAAACCCAAACCCAAACCAGGTCCCATCCTTCCCTCACTCCCCTGTACATGCAGAACAAGCAGAACTGCAGCATCAGGTCACATTTTATTTTTAGCTGCAAAACCAGTGAAACTGGGCAGCTTCACAGAAATCTAACTCTAACTGAAATTCCTGTCAGACAGCTGCTGCCAATTCACAAAATATCACCTGCCTGTCTGTCCTTCAGCTCAGTTTGTGCCAGAGTGGTCTGGGTTGGAAGGGAGCTCTGGAGATGCCCCAGCCCAAGCCCTGCCATGACAGCAGCTGCTCACAGCCAGGCAGATGTTGGAGCCCCAGCTGAAGGCCAGCTCAAGAGCTTCTCCAGGCTAATGTGATGTACCACATATCTCAGCAAACAGGATTTTGCATGTCTGTGCACAACACTCTTTCATCAGATTACAAGGGAAAAGTGAGTCTAGACATGCCAGAGCATATTTGAAAAATAGAGGATTACTGAATTTGCCATATCCCTCCTTGATTTTGGACTCTCCCAATGCTGCCGTAATAAGGACTAATGGCATTCTATATAACCAAATTAAGTAAAACTTAATTGCATTCCACTCAGATTTCCTTTTTACATAGCAATCTGCTTCCTCATCCATGTACAGCCTACACAGAAAAGTGGAGATTTTACTGCAAAAAAGCAACAGGTTTTGAAAAGTCTCAGTTGATGAAACATCAGAAAGCTGCACAAAAGTGCCAGGAGTTCCAAGGCATTGAAGATGAGTAAGCACAGAAGGAGATTGTGGGTAACTGTGAAACTGTGGGGCCAAAGGATCAGTTGAGGGGCATTTAATTAACTTCATGGAGTAATTGCAACCAGTGGTTTAACTCCAGCTCGGTCCTTTCCTAAGTTTTCTGGCAGATAAACTCACCCAAATATGAAAAGAGAAGCATTGCATTTGGCAGGCTGGGCCTGGCAGAGCTGAAATGTTATTTCTGAAGGCTCCAGGCAGCAGCTCAGCACTGTCACTGTCACATCTGTGCAGGTGGCTCTGTGTCTGTCACAGTGCAGAGGCAAAACCAGATCAGAGCTGCATTTCAACAGAGCCATGGAAAGAGTTAATGAGGGAGTCAAGGCCAGGCTCAAGTGGGTGTTCTGAACCAGCCTGCAAAGGGATTCCTGAGCCCAGACCAGCTTTTGTTCAGGTCCAGACCCACTTGCATTGGAATGCTGGAAGTGCTGCCCAGGCACAATGCAGACTTTCTCTCCCTCCAGCTGTTTCTGCCTTTTCTTTGCACTTTGTCCTAGGTTTGCACACTGACAGAGCTTCATGTACAGGAATATGTCATGCACATCCAGAGTCATCAGCCTACAAATAAAAAATGAGTTCTATATCACACAAACAGTCAGTTTGTGTGATACCTGGAATAGATCACCTCACTTCAGTAGTGCCAGAACACACAAATGATGCAATACACCCATTTCACATCTGAATTTCTGCACTTTACTTTTTCAAACTCCTTGCAAATCAATATAAAAAGCACACTGAGACAATGATAATGGCTTGATGGCTCTACTAGGAAAAGTAACATCAGTAAATGTGTAAGAAAGATAAGAACTAGGATAATGACAATCATTCACGGATTAATTATTTCACTGACAGGCTATTTTTAGTACACCTACAATATAAATATATTCAGCTAGTAAAAATATATACTTATCAGCACAAATTGTAAGCCAACAGAAAGAGAAATTGATCTCACAGTTGCTGGATATTTAACCAAAATTACAAAATTAGGTCCTGTGAAAACCCAGCCAAAACTTTCAGTGCTGTCTACTTCATGACTGTAGGCAGTAAATTAAATGCATTTCAAGCAAATGAGTCCTGTGTTGAATAAATGAAGTCTTGATTTAAATATTAAGCTAAATAATCTTTTTATTATTTATTTTAAATGCAAAAAACACCAGGCCCTCCTCCCTCAGATGTCTCCCATAGCACAAATTCATCTGCCACAGACATCAGTTACACAATTCCCTCCCTCCTACCCAATCTCCAGTCTACACTTGATGTGCACAATCACATCTGTAATCTCCAGAGCTTCCTAAGAGAAGAGCTCATTTTCCCCTGCTCGAGCTGTCAACACTGAAAAAAAAGAGCAACAGCCAACAATAGTTATTCTTTGAGCTTTGCATCTCCCAGCTCAGTTCAGACAACTCCATGGCACAGAGCCACAACCTGAGGCACTATAAATCCCAGTCTCATCAACTTCAAGAAACATTTTCCAGAAGCACTGGAAAGGATCAAGGAAAAAAGTTGCAATCTCTTGACAGTCTCATCCCAGGATACTCATCTACATTTTTTTAGAAGTTTTACAAATTCTGCACATGAAGGTCTGTTCGCACAGCTGAAATCTCACAGACTGCACAAGCAAGGACAGAAGAAAGATTGATTCAAAGTTTTCCTCAGTGTACAGGGCGATGGTTGTTTTGGGGATTTTTTGATACATTTTACCCAAACTGTAGTCACAATAAAAGCTACACAGGAAAAAAGGGACTGAGGAATATACAAGCACAGTTCCCTCAAATTTAAGGAAAACTAGCAGCCCCATATGAAATATCAACACAATAAAAGTAAATTTGGAGAAAAAGAAGAGAATGCATTTTCAATACCAAACTACGAGATGAAAGGATGGCACCTTCCACTCACCTACTGTGAGGATGTTTGCAGAGAGGAAATGGCAGCAGTTTCCCTCATGGAGAATGGATTCTTCTCTTTGTGTCAAATCCCCTGCTAGAGATTTTGGAGAAGTCAGAGCCATCTCAAGCTTTCAGAGCAGCCTGGCAACAGTGCCTGCTCCAAGTCAAACAAAGCACTTCAGTGCAGATATCTGCAGAAAATTTCAGTCAAGCAATGAAAATATCTGAGAAAAAGTAACAATTTCAGGATGTTGCTGCTTTGCTTGCTTTGGAAGTTCCAGTGAGTGCCTTCTCTGGAATTCCACATTCAGGAGACTGCCCTGGTTTAATTCTTTTGGCACATATTCCACTCATTGAACAACAGGATTTGCAGTATCAATGTGGAGAAAGAACCACGGAGCCCAGTCTTGACAGGATGGATGTGAGGAACCTTCCCAGGACCACAGGAGTTACAAACATTCCGTGGATCTTCCCAGTGTTTCTTGCATGTGGCGACCCTGGAGAAGACATTTTTTTAAATAATGGAAGATACTTTAATGGTGAGATATTTACCACAGGAACATACTTAGGTGATGTGCAATGCACTGACCTCAGCAGACAGAAGGCACCAACTCTTCCATCCCTCACCCCAGGATTTTCCACAGACAAAGCTCCATTTTTGCCAGCAGCAACTTCTCCAGAAGCCAAAGCACTCATGCTGGGGTTAATTATTTTACACACACAAACACACAGAGACATAATATGTACATACACACTTAGCTCAGTCATTCTGCACAACAAGTGAAGGTATTGGGTGCATTTCCAAAGGACCCTGCCTGATGATGGCTCCCTCATTCACTTCCATCTCCAGCCCTTGAAGCTCTTTGCTCCTCTTACCTGTTGTCAGCTGTCTCCATCCTGTATCTCTGTCATTGTCTGGCATTCTCTTTCCCTTTTCTTACCCATCTTCTGCCCACTGGATACAGAAGACTCACCTTTCCAAAGCTTTCAGTGGACACCTTCCCCAGAGAAACAAGGTCAGAGAGGCTCCCTCCAAAACAGCAATCACCCCAGACAGAAACCTGGGATCCTACCTAGTGCTGGTAACTGTTTGAATCTCTGGGAGTCTCCTTCAGTTTGTAATTACAAGTTGAGCTCCGAAACATTGCCCTAACATGTTTTGTTGTGAAAGCACGGATCCAGTTTGACATTATTTTAAAGAGAGAGGGCAATGAAGCTCACTATTAATTACAGTGATTAGAAATAAAGGAGGGGGTTTGAGACATTTGTAGCAAAAAATGAGTAAGAGAATGCCCTGCTAGAGCATCTGCCGTTTGAAGCTGTACCTCTCTCCTTGTGTTTGGTCCCTCATTCAGCTTCTTTGGGAAGTCACTTCCTCCCTGCCATTATCTTTTCACCAAGCCCCACCTTCTCCTTTCTCATGCTGTTAAAAACTCCTGTGTTCAGAGGGAGCATCAGTCAGTGAAGTAACACCCTTATGTGGAGCCAAATGCATGGCAACTTCATCTAAGGGACAGTAGTGCTTGGCAATAATTATCCTGTAAAAAATCAGCATCATTACAATCATTTGTTTCCGCATTTAAATGGGAAATATCTCACAGGGCATCCTGTGGCTCTGCAATTGTTATGGACACCTCAGAGAGTGACATTCATTTGGCAAAGAATATCTTTATTACAGAGCACAGCTGGAGTAATCAAAACCCAAATTAGAAGCTTAGGGCAGCTTTCAAAAGCAGACTGGATTGAGAGGGGAGGAAGATAACAGATTATCAAAGATACATCCTGTGCCCCCCATACACTCATTCTTGTACATGCTGTCACCTGTTCCTGTAATTGTATCCCTTGTAATTGTATTCCCTGGCATATACATAATTAGGTAAAAGAATACAGAGATAGCATTCTGCTTTAGACTGAGCAAAATGAATTCATACATTTCCCTGTATTCATTTAATACATTTCATGTATTCATTTTGTGCATCCCAAAATAAACGTTGTTGGTTGGTTTTTTGGTTTTTTTTTTTTTTTCTAATCTAGGTTAATCCTTGAATCAATACCAAAAATACACTTCCATATACAGAGCTGACTTGTTTTATTTAGAATGGAACCCAAAGTAGATGTTAGAAGGTATGTCAGGATGTAAATCAACTTGTCCAGTGAAAAATCCAAAACTGCACCCAGCAGCATTTCTGGAGCTGCTCAATTGCATGCTCTGTGCAGGTACTGCAGATGCCAGCACTGCCTCAGTTATCATCCGCTTTGGTCATCTGGGCAACTCCTGACCACAATTTTGTAGCCACTAGCCACCAAGTGCCATTTCTGGTACCTGTGCACCGAATGTTTAACCTGGGATGAATCCAGGGGGTCCCAGGCTCACAGGACAGAGGAACTGTTCTAACACCAAGACAAGGTCAGCCCATTTCCTTTGCAGAAAGATGAACTGGTGGGTAGTTGCTTGGCTGACTCTCTCACCTCTTTGCTTCAGGGCTTATTTGAGAGGCCATTTCCTTTGGAGGAAGTTCAATCAGTGTGACTAATTAGACACCAAAGAACATGTCCATGAGGGCAAGGAAGACTGAATGGGCACGGGTGCTCCTGCTGGTGCCAGAGCAGCATCATTCCAGTGAAAGCAGCTGAGCTTTACATTGATGTGGCTTGTTAAATATTTTATTGTCTCGAGTTATGTCAAATTCATGTTCTTTATGCTTTGTTATGATCTGAAAGTGAAGCTACTTTGAGGCAGCTGATCTCTGAATGTCTTCACTTTCCATGCAAAATTGTTCTTCCTGCACTCAGTCCCACCTTTTACAGCTTCCTACAGGTCCTCAGAGTTCCATTCCTCCCCTCCCTCTCTTCAGCATACCTGTGCTGGTAAAAATAAAAGCCAAGCCCCTCTTCCCAAACCAGTCCCCACAAATCCTACGCAGCCAATGGAAAAGTATACAATGGATCCCTAAAAATACAGATTGGTATCTCAGAACAACATTCAGGGGCCAGATCTCCTATTAAAGTGAATGAAAGAAGCTCAGTTGGCTTTCCTGGCAAATTTGTTGTGAAGGTTGGATGATGGAAAATATCAGTTGCACTGTCTGGAAACACCTCACCTCTGTTACTGTAGGAACCACGGTGGCTCTGAGAACAGCACTGCTCACTGGCAGAAGACATCAAACAGCCAAAAGAGAGCAACTGTATCTGTTCAGACCACATGAACAAGATTTAAACTGTCTGCTCAGGCTGAGAGCCCTACCTAAGATTATTGTGTGAGGTCCTGTATCCCCTTGGAATAAAGGACTTAAACCCTTGAGGCAGGATCTGTATCACTTACAGACAATAAAAGCTGTGTACACCATTAACAATTCTCTAGCCGTTTTTATATACTGTAGTATTTAAAGCTTAACCCCACAAGACCTGCTTTTGTTCAGGAAGGTTTTGTGTGGCATCCACAAAGCTCAGACAAGCTCTGATATCCTCCCAGGACAGATACACTGATACCATGGATGAAACACACAAAAACCAAGCCATCACTTAAACCTGAATAGTTTGATCAGGAAGCAGATCAATGGATAAAAGATCAAAGTGCCATCAAATGGGAGGGAAAAAACTAATACTTTAAAGAATTTAAATGTGAGAGCTGGGATTTGCTTTTAAGCTGCAGTGTGGTTGCCTCTGACACGCTGCTCATTTGAAGGAATGCAGCTCCATTCAGCAGGGAATTGCACGGAGATAACCTGCACGTCCAGACACGCCAGTGCACAGCCAGGGAAAAGAGAGGAGAGGAGAGGAGAGGAGAGGAGAGGAGAGGAGAGGAGGCTGCTCCAGCCCCGCGGAACCAGGGCTGAGCCCACACCTTAGGGTGTGATCCCGCATTCCTCTTCCCAAGGGACCGGGCACACTCACAACAGCGGCGTGCCACTGAGTCTCCTCGGTTAAAAGGAGAAAGAGCAGAAAAGGCACAAGAGGACATCAGGATTCCTTCCTGGCAGGCTGCCGTGTTCACCTTCACCCAGAACATCCCACTTAAAAGGAGCACTTAAGATTTGTCAGCTTTTCCTCAGCCGCCCCTTACAGCCTGAGCTGGAGCTGCACATGCAGGAGCCCTGCATTTTTGTTCAATGATGTAACTGAATATTCCTTATGCAAGTCAGCAGACTTGTTATTAAATCCAAATTATTTATCTCAGGTTTGTATGAAACACATCATATGACTTTAGCAATAACTTTATGAAGCAAAATGTGAAATTTGTAACAATTTTTCTCTATAGGGATAGACTTGTTTGCAATCCCCTGACCTATTTATCCTGAATTGCCAAAACCCCTCTCGGTTTCACCATCATTCCCTGTCACCAGCCAGTTCCCAGACCTGTCTGAAGCGACAATGGAAACACAGCAGCCTCTTGCTTCTGAAGAAAATTTGCATTTTGTATTAGCAAGGGAGAACTGGCAATTTCTATTAGGAGGCAAAAGGAACTAATTAAGCAAAGTTCTAAATATCATCCAATAGCTTGGCTCAAAAGAACTTTGAAAATAAAAGTTTCATACTCTAGACCACAAAAAACAAAAAGCCTCAGAGAAGAAATGAGGAAGGAAGATCTCCTTGTTAGGAGACAGAAAGTGAGGACTGCTGGAAAAGTTCTGCCGCACTTGGGAATTTGTGAGTCATACTGAGGAGAGATAGACTGTGGGCTCCGATGCCACTTGTAATCAGATCTATAATTCCAATAATGTTCATGCTGCCAATTGTGCTGGCAGTCTCGGTTTTCAGACTTCTCCAGAAGTCTGATTTTTTAAAAATTTTTTTTCTACAATTTCATGTAAATGAGCAGGAAATTCTTTTAAGAATAATGTCTTTAATCAAACTGCTTTAATTCTGTACAGCAGCTTAATGCTGCACTGATGAATCTCTTGGATATTAAGAATTAATTTACACTGGGGGAGTTAGAGAAAAGGTGGCAACTTGTCACCTTTCACAAGTCAGTGGCAAACATCAGCTTTCTTCTGAAGATGCCTGGTAGGGCCAAACACAAGAGCCCAAGCACAGGCAGACAGACACTAAGAGAATATTGCAAACAAGAAAAACATGCTTGTGCTTGGCAACTTCAAGAGGACACTGCCATTTTTTATTTTAT